AAATGTCTCTAATTTGAACTCTCTGCGGACCCAATTTTTTTACAAGCTTATCGTAAACTGGATCACCTCCTGGAGTTGTTTTAAATCTCAGAGTGACATGTAACTCATCATGTTGTTTGACAATGGCACTTGGATTTAATGCCTGTTTTGCCCTTTTTACAATTTCTTTCCCTGATTCTCCAGGGTCACTTGTCGGCATGTCCAAAGTCCAACAATACAATACTGATCCCTCCCCTTGTAGGACATGGATATCAGTGTTGCTACAGCGCCTAGCTTCCATATTTCCATTTTTGTTTGGAAATATTCCCATTTTTAATGCAACCATTGCATCACGTCCGAGTAGATTGTGTGGGCACAGCGGTGACAGAACCACCCTCAACATGGCTTCATCACATGTTTCTGGATTTGTTATTGTAATCAACTGACTCAAATTTTGTTTTTGCACTAACCCATTAGCTGATCTCACTGTGATTGAGTTTTTTGAAATGGGTATATTGCTCACATCCCTAATCACTGTTTTATCCGCTCCAGAATCACAAAGGAACACATAGGGCCTTTCTTCAATGTAAAGTGTTATTTCTGGTTTAGACACATGAAAAATATCTAATTGAGTGAAATCTATAACCTCATCACATTGCTTTGCCAAATCAGAATCATATCCATTTTCATTTTCAATTATGGAAGTCATTTTTAAATTTGGAATTTTCACTGTTTCATCATTACTTTTTGTCAGAACTTTAGTTTTGTTTTGACTCCCTAGTCATGCATTGTGATGTTTTTGATTTCTCCCTTTTTTTTCTACATATTCTTCTCTTTTGTCCTCATCTGAACTTGCTCCACATTCTCTGGCCCATGCTTCACATTCTCTCGCCCAATGTCCTTTCTTTTTGCATATGTAACAATAATCATTGCTTTTGTCCAACTTTCTCTCTCTCCTAGTCTTCATCTGCCCCTTCCCTCTGCTTTGACCTCTGCCTCTATTCCGCTCCCTCCTTGCTGATTGGCCCTGTGCTCTCTGGTAACACAAGTCTCCCAAATCTTGCAAGAAAGAATCTACTGATCTGGCTTGCTCTTCTCTCTCTTTATTTCTCTTTTTATTTCTAGCAACCACTTCAGCATGAATAGCATGTGTTATGAAATCAGGCAGCGTCGCAGTAGGCAATCCAACAAAATTTCTCTTTATCCATTCAGAGACTTCTGGTCTTAAATTAGCCAACATCCCTTGTTTAAACTGTTGATCCCAAATTACACGCTCCGCTGCATTATTGTCTCTCAACCCACTGTGTTTTTTCTAAAGGCTGTTTCAAACCGCACTCTAAAATCTACTACTGTCTCATCCTCCATTTGTCTTACCTGAGCTAACTTCCCATAGTCAGGTAAAGTTTTGAACATTTCTCTGATTTGATTATGTAGAGTATTTAATCTATCATTAATGAGTGGGTCTGCTGCAGGAAGAAGCACAGGTGGGTTTGCATTATCATTTGGGTTATAATGCTGTCTGCATCTTGTCCAATCAACTCCCATTTTCGTCATGTAAATGTCCCTAATTTCAATTCCGTTAAGCCTATACATGTCCACCAGTTGTTTCATACCATCGCAAAAACTATCTGGGTCTTCTCTATGGCTTGGGACACTTTCTGTGGCTTTAATTATGTCTGCTTTCGTCCAAGTACGAAAGACATACATAGTAGGCAAACTTCCAACCACTTGTGGATCATGAGTGGGATTTGGGACTTCTATCATTGGGAATGCATCTGCACCTCTCTCTGAGAAGTCAACCCTTGGACTGAAAAGGTTTCCAAATTGTTTGCTCCAAGACTTGTTCATTGGAAGCCGTGATCTAGTAGCAACAGGTGTTTGTACATCACAGACTTGTGGTTGTGCTGCTGCTTCTAGCTCTGCATGTGGATACAAACTATCCTGCAGTTTTACAGGATGATGTGAGAATGGATTTGTTGTCTGTTGCAGTGGGGTATATTGAGGTGGTGCTCCCGTGTGGTTATGAGCCTGTACTACAGCCTGCTGCTGCACATGGCGCCTCCCTGATTGGACCAAATTGTCTTCTTCTGTTGTAAAGGCAACTAGGCTGGTTTCACTCTTCTTCTCTTTAATTTGCTTATTCCTACACTTTGCTGCAACTAACCACAGCTCTGCCATTTTCTGCTCATGCAATTGTTTTTCTGATGGCAACTTTTTGCATTCAAGTCCTAAACTAACTTTCATCACCAGTGTTTCACACTCTTTTAGTGTTAGTTTACCTTCAAACCCATACTTCTTCTTCCAGTTTTTTAAATACTTAACTGATTCAGGATTTTTTCTCTGCATAAACTTAGGATCCCCTTTCAGATCCACAGTTTTAGTACAAGATGAACCCATATTTACTCTTTAGTAAATTACTTAGATATCTTCTTCAACTTCTATTTAATAACTATTGCTTATACAACAGTGGATATTAATTACACATTTGTAAACGATCTTAGTGGAATGCCTCACGGGCCAAATCACTTCCTCGAGAAACAAGCTTCTAGACAAAACTTAATGTTTCATCCGGTTTCTCCTGGGTGTTTAATCACAAGGAATGTAATTGTTTTAGACCACTTTCACGATTACTTAAAACATAATGAGATGCAATCCAACTCTACTTCACCAAGTCGACAACTTACACCAGCTGCAGGACGATCAGCGAGGGACTGTAATAGACAGGATTCTAACACACAACTTCTTTAGAGGACTTTGATGTTTTCTTGGAATAAGCACCAGCACTCCTTACTTTGAGCTGGAGATGGAGCCAGGACTTCTCACTTCCCTGCAGAGATAGACATGTTTCGTGTTTTTGGAGCAGGATCTAAACTTCTAAACTCTGTACTTTTGACTTTTTTGTTCTGTTTGGATTGCTGGTGAAGGACAAAAGTACAGCCCGGTGCACACGCTCACATGACGAGAGCCTGTGTGAATGATAAGAGAGGTCGTCCATGTCTCTGCTCCAGCGTCGGGCCCAGTGCGCCTTTGTCTCACCACAGACACCACTGTGGTCTATCAATCACTGTGTCTTTCTCTGCTCACATCTCGGCTCCACTCATCATCCCTCTGTGACTAATTACTCCAACTTTACCGCTCTCCCACCGACAAAAACTGCCACATAAACTGAAAAGTACAGACAGTATTTGAACATGCTTTCGCGATGACTGGAAAAGGTCCACTTCCCGCACTCTTTTCGATCACAGAAAGGCATTTACGCAACTTCAGGAATTTGCAAAATGGCTGGTACTGGATGAAAATAAGTTATTGAATGCCCCGAGCAGAAAGAAACATAGAAGGTTGTGAGTATTTGTGTTGAAGTGCAAAAGGGAAAATGTACAGTATTTTTTAACATTAGTCCATCAGATGTGAGCCTGGTCTTGGTGTCAGTGGACCAAAGATGGATTGACTTTCTTCTCTCATTGCTAGTGGTTGTGTGAATCTATTTATGTGTGTGTTTTGTTTTTGTATATTGTAATTAAAGCATCACGTATATACTTCAGATTAGTTTATGTCAAAGGGGACAATGAAATGTAATAAAACACATGATTAAACATGAGTTAAAAAAAAATAATCCAGAATTAACTATTGTTCATCTGCAGTCCCCTGTCCATGCTGTTAAAAAGCCATTAAAATACATAACAATACTAGCAATATCAGCTTTTTACAGTCGCGCACATGTTTTGATCTGAGAAAATATCCATGTACAGTAGTTGCGCCATTGCTCTACATGTTAGAAGCTAAACTGCATTTGTTTTGCAATGGGCGGCACGGTGGCTGAGTGGATAGCACTCTTGCCTCTCAGCAAGAAGGTCCTGGGTTCGAATCCCGGCCGGACCAGGGCCTTTCTGAGTGGAGTTTGCATGTTCTCCCTGTGTCTGCGTAGGTTTCCTCCGGGTACTCCGGTTTCCCCTACCACTAAAAATATGTACAATAGGTCTGGCATGTGCCTCCTGTTCGGCGACCCCGCTCCCATCTCTGTGTGGAGTGAGAGACAAGTGCCCAAAAAAACTACAAAAACAATTGTAAACCACTTTGTGACTCTGGTCTGTGAAAGGCAGTATATAAATAAAGCTTACTTACTTACTTACTTGCATTGTCATGACAATACAGTAGAATCTAATCCAATGACGAAGCTGCTCTTGTGAGACCTCAATCATACAGTTCATGCAAGGCGGCCATGGAAATTACAAGAAGGAGAGGAGATGTACCAACAGAAAAAACTTCATCTACAGCCATGCACTGAGCACAGCTGTATTTAGTGACGTCTAGGTGGTAAAATGGTACCAGGCTTTCACCAACACAGGAAGTTACTATTGGCAAAATGTATTGTGTTAATTTGAGCATGTTCTGCCTCAAAACAAGATTTGTCATTGAGACAAGCAAATCTATCGTGTTTAAAAAGTTACAAGAAATGTCTGCCTTGGAATGAGAAAATAACACAAAATCTCCCATTGGCAAATTTTAAGAGAGTCAGAACACACTCAATTTAGGCAATTATTACCTCATTTTTTTGCAGTGTAAGACCAACCCGTCGACCTTGCCTCTCTCTATGTATCAATTTTAGACACAGTTTAATTTTCTGTCCATTTTTTCAGATACCTCTCACGGGAGATTGGAAGAACGCTGGCCGGTTTCTAGGGCCAACTGATTATTGCAGCCTCCGCAGCCGCAGAGGGAGGAAAAAGGTGCTCTGGGAGGAGATTGCTGAAATCCGCCGGCGATAAGAGCTTCAACACATACAAGTCTTTGCCGCAGACTTTACAACACGCCGCAAATTGAATCATAACAGACTTGACGAGATAAGCTAACGGAAATAATCACGCTTTTATTCTCCCGGCAACAACACGAGCAGCAATAAGCCCCCACCACCGCAACCGCCGCCGCCACTATTAACATTGTAAGCCGCGAAAAATGAAAATGTTTAGATGCATATTGGATATTAAGTAAAACGGATTAGGCCAAGTGAGAAATGTGTGGGATTAAAATGGAATAAGGGGGAGAAGTGTGATTCTTATCGTTTGAGGTGCACTGGCTTTTGTATGGATCTGACAAGGCAGCTCTATGGGCAGCTCTATGGTCAGCTCTATGGGCAGCTGTATGGGCAGCTCCATGGGCAGCTCTATGGTCAGCTCTATGGTCAGCTCTATGGGCAGCTCTATGGTCAGCTCTATGGGCAGCTGTATGGGCAGCTCCATGGGCAGCTCTATGGTCAGCTCTATGGTCAGCTCTATGGGCAGCTCTATGGTCAGCTCTATGGGCAGCTCTATGGGCAGCTCCATGGGCAGCTCTATGGTCAGCTCTATGGGCAGCTCTATGGGCAGCTCTATGGTCAGCTCTATGGTCAGGCCTATGGTCAGCTCTATGGTCCGCTCTATGGGCAGCTCTATGGGCAGCTCTATGGTCAGGTCTATGGGCAGCTCTATGGTCAGGTCTATGGATAGCTCTATGGTCAGGTCTATGGGCAGCTCTATGGGCAGCTCTATGGGCAGCTCTATGGGCAGCTCTATGGGCAGCTCTATGGTCAGCTCTATGGGCAGCTCTATGGGCAGCTCAATGGGCAGCTCTATGGGCAGCTCTATGGTCAGGTCTATGGGCAGCTCTATGGTCAGCTCTATGGTCAGCTCTATGGGCAGCTCAATGGGCAGCTCTATGGTCAGGTCTATGGGCAGCTCTATGGTCAGCTCTATGGTCAGCTCTATGGGCAGCTCAATGGGCAGCTCTATGGTCAGCCTCAGGTCAAAATGAACCGCCACAGAAAACAAAAGTTTGTGGAAAAATTCCCTAAATTACAGTCTAAAAGGGTTTTTTTTTTTACTTTGTGGCGGGTCAATTTAACCCTAAGATTAAAATTACATGGGCCAGGGATTAAACAAATTCATAGCAGAATAAAAAAAGATGACTATTCTATAGACTAGTGTATAAGGTTAACTTCATTACCGAAATTGCAAAATTCTTCCCAATCCTGTAAAGAAAACGTACAGTTGCTTTGTCAGTTCCCACCATACGCCCTGGCACCTGATCTGAGTGACAGGCAGTGATGGGCAAGAGGAGGGGAGGACACAAGGCAAGTTTAAGCCCGGTGCAAATATGCAGAAGAGTACACAAGTTCAATAACCTGTATAAAGTACCAGGTGCTGTAGAGACACTTTGCAGCTGTGGCTCCTGCACATATGAAACCAGTGACAGCTGTGTACGGCCTGATATGACTTGACACTTGTTGATTGCCCGAGGACCGTCGTAATGATTTTGTGAGGATGTAAAGTGCTGATGTGCCGACTCTGTGTGAAGTCAATAGAGTCCACAGAGGATGCATCACTTGTCTGGTTTAAGTGCCCCCTGTCCACGAGCGCCGCGCAGATTAACGACTGCACTGGACAAGAGGAAATGTGGAAATATGATGATAATGTGCAGCTGGCAGCCGGAGAAAAGAAGGCTCTGGATCAGGAGCGTCGCACAGACACCACATCTGTCTTTGTTATACGTTTGTGGAACTTAGTGTATTATGCTCTCGTGTGAGACTTCCACAAGCCTGTCTCTGTGTTAATAATAATAATAATAATACATTTTATGACATAGACGCCTTTCGGGACACTCAAAACCGCCACATGCAAGGAAAAAGTACAGTTAAGATACAAAGAGGTTGTATTAGATTCAGTCTGGAGTCAAAAGAGAGCTTGGTGCCTTTAAGGAGATGCACACACACAATACAAACCAGTGGTAGGTAATTGTTTTCTTCAAGGAGCCGCATGGGGTCCGGTCCTGAAATATATCCTGATTTTGTGTGATTGACTTTTGGATAGTATTTTGTAAAAAGCTTCTTCAGTGTTAAAAAGTAAAAACGTATATATTTATGTATGTATTGTGGGCATACATGGTGTCATTTTGCCACAGTTTTCGTAGCAAGTCAATGTATTAGCTTGTATCTCCATGCGTCTGACTTTTTCACACACACACACACACACACACTCGTCTGCTCCTCTGCTGGCTCGTACTCAGAAGTCAACAAGCTTTCAGCACAGCCTCACAGCGGTGTGTGAGTTAGCGTTAGCCAAACTCCTGAGGACAATATCGCACGTCTGAAATTTGCATTATATGTGGTGTATGTTCATTTTTAGAATGACAGGACAAATGCACACATGTACCAACTAGTAACGTAACCTGATTTTAACCTCTTTTTAATCACTTCTTAAAATCCACAATAATCAAACCTCTTTTAAACTGCTAGTTCTAAACTTCACATGAGGTATTTTTCTGTTCCACATTGTCTTTTTTTGTGCCTTTCCTCATGTGTGCCCTCCGTCTACTTTGTCTTCCTGTACCTACTCTTTTATTCTCTCCTTTAGCCACTGTTAATTATTTTGACTCTGCATTATTATGACTTTTTTTGGCTATTGGTATTGACTATACTGACACTGTTTTTACTATACAAATACAGATGTACTATTATCAATACTATGACAGTTACGTTTGTGGATTCAAAGTTAGGTACACCAGCTTTAATACTCTCATCATTGGAGAATCACAATCGGAGAGAAACAGCAAAAACATTTGTATTGTGTGTATTCATCCAAAGAGGCCTGTGTCATAGAGCCCAGAGTCCTTGAGCCTCTCTCTGTTGCGATCGCAGACTCTCTCAGTGATAGTGCAGTTTGGAGAGCGCCCCAGTGAGTCCCAGGGCAGTTCATGGTGACTCAGCATTGGCCCAAACCACATTTCAATAAATCAAGCGTCTAAGCGGCGAGCGCTCCTCCTCCCGCTGCGCTAAGTCAACACAAACGCACTGACAGCGTGGACAGCAGCCAACGGTAGCCGCGCCTTTTGGAAGAGTAAGCAAGTTTTACACTCCTTTGGTTTGGACTGGCAGACAGATTTGAAGGCTGCGATGGATTACTGAAAGGCAGAATGAAAGAATGAAGGGGTTTTAGTGTTGAAGTGTTCTGTGTTGGAATAATTCGGATAAATGTGGGAATTTGTTAAAGTATTGATCATTAAAGATGGCGTGAAGTGTTAATGCTACAGTACATGTGAGTTAACTTTGACTCTAAGGAGCACAGGGACTGGTCTCCTGCTGGTTCCAGGTCTATCTCTCTCTGGTCCCTTCTGTCTGGTCTGTCCTTGTGGTCTCTCTCTGGCCTGTTTCTCTGGTCTCTCTCTGGTCTCTCTCTGGTCTCTCCCTCTGGTCTCCCTCTGGTCTCTCCCTCTGGTCTCTCTCTGGTCTTTCTCTGGCCTGTCTCTCTGTTCTCTCGTCTCTCTCTCTGGTATTTCTCTGGTCTTTTTTCTCTCTCTCTCTTTCTCTCTCTCCCTGGTCTCACTCTCCTCTCCCTCCCTGGTCCCTGTCTCTGGTCTCTCTCTGGTCTCTCCCTCTGGTCTCTCCCTCTGGTCTCTGGTCTCTCTCTCTCCCCGGTATTTCTCTGGTCTTTCTTCTCTCTCTCTCTTTCTCTCTAGTCTCTCTCCCTGGTCTCACTCTCCTCTCCCTCCCTGGTCCCTGTCTCTGGTCTCTCTCTGGTCTCTCTTTAGTCTCTCTCTGGTCTTATTATTTTGATTGAGTCTTTCAGACCCACACATAACAATGGCGGTTTTGTGAATTTACTCATTCTCAAATAATGAGACATTTCTTTTTCAACACTTCTTTCAAAAATGCTTCTTTCCTATACAGTTATTGGAATCTATCAGGATTTGTGGCACCTCATTAAATCACCGACACATTAGAAAACAGAGCAGGCAAAAGAGCCATAGAAGCAATTATTGATGTAATTATTGCAATACTTCAACGGAATAATAACAAACGCAAGTATTTTCACGTTTAATTTGCACTTGAGGAGAAGAGAGACGTTGTTTTATCAGGTATAAATTAAAACGTGTAGATTGTATATTTTTTTTATTGCTATCAGTCCATAGCAGCCGTTTCCCGTATTGTGTGTGTTTACGGCTCGAAGAGGGAATAGAAATCTCATTACCCATTGACGCACATTTTTGACCCTCACTGCTATAAAATAATACGTCTTCCTTTTTAAAGTTTTACAATTCTCAACTTGAAACATGCCACAGAAGGACGTAAATTTCAGTATTTTAACTATGTGCCGACACAACTCTATGGAAAAGAAAGATTTACCAAGTCGCCTTTTTTTTCTTGTTTTAAAATCCCTGCGACTGTCCAACCTGTTTCATTTATACTTTTCTAAACATTACGCCACTTCTGGACACTTTCATGAAAAATTTGTGAGATCGTTGTTGATATGTTCTGACAAATGTGGAACTGTTGTGTCTTTGTTTCATGTGGATTGTCTCAGGAAATGCAGAGAAATTAGCTCTAGACTTTTGGCCGAGACCGTATACAGGTGGGCTGTGGCTGAGTGGTTAGCACTCTTGATTCTCTGCAAGACGGTCCTTTGTTTGAATCCCGGTCGGAAAAGGGCCTTAATTAGTAACGCTTACATCTTCTCGCCGTGTTGACGCAGGTTTCCTCTGGGTGCTCCAATTTTCCCCTAGCACTAAAAACATGTACAATAGGTATAAATGTAATCAGTGAGTGAATGGATGGTGTTTGGTCGGAGGCTTTGATGGTCCAGTGTGTTCGGCGTCTCGCTTCAGTCATCACCGTGTGGAGAGAATGGAACAATGAACTCTGAACATTATAAAGTGCTTTGGGTAACCTTGGTCTGAAAAATGTGCTATATTAATACACATTATTTACTTACTTACAGATGGAAACGTGACCATAGATCGTCAGACTTTTTGTGTTTTGAAAGTCCGTTGCCTCAACTTGAATGTGCCCAATCAAAGAAATACTTTACATTCCCTTTTCCTCTTTAACTGGGCTCAGTGGGAAATCACACATAAATAATATTAGAAATAAACTGTCCAAAGAAATAGCAATAATATATAAATACAGATATATCTTAATGCCCGACATTACATATTGTATACAGGTGTGGGGCAACACTTATAAAACTAATACTAAACCAATTTTCATATTGCAAAAAAAGGCAAAAAGGGCGATCATCAGCCTGTACAACGAGTCACAAATGCACTGTTTATAAATCTACAAATACTAAAATTCTATGATTTAGTCGACCTTTACAGTTTGATATTGATGTTCAAGATTAAAAATGACCTCCTGTCTGAACCACCGCAGGAACTGTTCACAATCAGAGACAGTCGTTATGAATTGAGAGGAACAAACATGTTCATAAAACAAAAATAGAGAACAAATGTAATGAAAAGTTGTTTGTTAGAAAGGTTGATCTCTGGAACCGATGCACAGATGAACTTAAGTCGTGCAATTCACTTAACCTCTTTAAAAGGATGTTTAAAAATATCATTTTGGATGGCTACCTGAACTCAGATTTTTGATGTTGATATAGTTGCTAATTTAAATGCTATTGTTTACATTCACTTATACGAATGACACTTGTAAAAAGCGTAGGCAATGAAAGCATAAGCTGCAGCCTACTCCTTTGTTTTCTGCTAAAATGTACTGTCCTAAAAGTGTGTAAAATGTACAAGTGACCGAAATAAACTGCATTCAACAAAATCACAAACAGCCTCATCTCTTTGCTCAGGCCTTCACTTTACAAATCCAGTATCTCTTCTGCTACACACACCTCTGACTCTGATCGTAATTCCAGAGTAAAACCAGTATCTTTACACACCCCAAACTGATACTAACACCCGCCTCTTCTCTCTGATTGGACTGTAAACCTGGACGGTGCTTGCGTTGCAGGAGGCGAGAATGCCGTCGGTGGAGGCAAACAGAATTACAAGCTCTACTTATGCAGGCAAACATAATTAACGGGCTCAGACAGTGCACCTGTTCGCTCCTGAAAGCCCACTCGCCCGAGGAGGAAATCTGCTCCTGACACCTCCTCCTGAATTATGCAGCACTTTCACATTACCAAATGGCTCGGCTTTTATGGCAAATATAAGTCATTTCCTACGACTCTGTTTTACACAGTCCACACACAGAGTATCATTTGGAGAAACTTTATATAAGAAGGAAATGGTTAATGTTTGAAGTGTGTAAAGGGTTTGGAGAATGTAAATGTGGATCTCTGCTGAAATGGAAGGCTGTGTTCCAGGGTTAGTGGGAGGCTGGATATTTCCCAGTTGAAATAAAAAGATTCCAATTGTCTGAACTGTAGGCAAACAAACTGCAAATGTTATGTGTGTGTTAAACTGCTTTTGTGTTTATAATTGTGGTGCCACCTGGATGTGACTCAGAGGTACTGAATCTGAGACTTTTAAGCAGTTCTGTTTGTTACAAGACTCTCCATGGCCTCATACCAAAGTACATCTGAGACATGTTAGAGCCATTTGAACCAACTGGGACTCGGAGGAGCACAGGGACTGGCCTCCTGCTGGGACTCTGAGGAGCACAGGGACTGGCCTCCTGCTGGGACTCTGAGGAGCACAGGGACTGGCCTCCTGCTGGGACTCTGAGGAGCACAGGGACTGGACTCCTGCTGGGACTCTGAGGAGCAC